AAAATAATATTAATATTTTTTGTCCGCTGTGACGGAGCATTTTCACAGTTCACATTTGCAACTGCTCCGTCACAGCGGACAAAAAAATTAAACATTATTTTTTATAAAAGAATTTAAAAGACCAAATACATCAACATCTCATTTATACCTTCATAGTTATGCTGAAACCATGTGTAAATATTATCGTGTCACTATATCGTGCCATTAGAAAGTTAAACAAGAAATGGTACATTTTGAAGTATGATACTCCAGCGCCATTTTCAATAGCTTTTCTTCCCAGCGTAATTGGACTTCAAACAGAAGTGAAAGTTACCCGCAAATGATATATCCATTGCATGGAGTAAGTAATTTTGTATGGTATAATGAAACATATGAGTTAAAAAATAAATCGTGAAGTATTCTTAGTGTTTTTATGAAAAATAGCATGCTCCGTCACAGCGGACAAATATTTCGATACCAGCCTGTGGGTATATGTGTACAAAATATGAACAAAATCGGGCAAACGGTATTTGAGTTATTGCCCGGACGGACGGACGGACGGACGGACGGATGGAGGCGTTCCCTATATCCCTCCGAACTTTGTTCGATGGGATAATAAATCATATCAATCATATCATACCTCACAATATAAATTATATCATATGAATTATCATACAAATAAAATCATATATCAATCATATTATATCTCATGTCAAATCATACTTATCATAGCAATGATCATACCATATGCTACTATATCATACCATATCATATTGCCTAACATATACAGGGTGTCCAAAAAGTATTGTTGCCCTCCTAGGCGGACATATACCAATGTCTTCATAGTATGTGTCATATACCATTTTAAAGCTTATCAAAACTTACATTGATTTGCCAAGTATTATGGTTCAACTATCACCTCACAAATGGTAAAAAGTTACAGGCATTTCAAAACTTAGTGTTTGGCCAAAAATATAGTTCATTACAATATCCTGGAAACAGCCCTAACCTGAATGTGACCGAAAATATGGGTTCTATTGTCGACAAAAGGATGGATATTGAGTTCTAAAAAGAGGAAGTTGAGGGTAGATACTCAAAGAAAACACTTCTTGAATGCCTTAAAAAGGTTTTATGAGGAATACAAAATGGCAAATCCCTATTTGAAGCACATTTAAGGTCATATATGGTAAGCATTGCTGCCGCCATTAACATGGCTTAGGGAGACACACTGACTATTATTTTGGTGTAAAAATGACTTTAATTTTGGCCAAACACTAAATTTTGAAATGCCTGTAACTTTTTCCCATTCGTGAGTTAAACTGTGATACTTGGCAGATCAATGTAACTTTGGATGATCTTGAAAATGATATATGGCACATACCATGAAGACATTGGTATATGTATGCCTAAGGCCCCCCAATACTTTCGGGACACCTTGTATAATGACTATATCATATCATATATCATTGTATATAATTTTATAAAACTTATCATCATATCATGACTACATATATCATATTAAATATCATTGTATATAATCTTATAAAACTTATCATGATTACAAATATCATATTAAATATCATTGTTATAATCTTATAAAACTTATCATGATTTCATATATCATATTAAATATCATTGTATATAATCTTATAAAACTTATCATGATTACAAATATCATATTATATATCATTGTATATAATCTTATAGAACTTATCATGATTACATGTATCATTGTATATAATCTTATAAAACTTATCATGATTACGTATTGGTATATCATACTAAATATTATAACACATCATATAATATAAAATATCATGTGTCATATTACATCATATATCATGTCACATCATATATCATATTATATATCAGTGGAGACGCTAACCCCATTTAACGTGAAGTATGACAATTGCCATGTTGCACAACAATTGATGTGAAATTAAGAAGCATAAGTGCGCATGTCAATAGATAATAACAGCAATTGCCATAATGTCCGTCAATGTGACGTGCAATATTTTGAACGGCAATTGATGTGCAAACTATAATCTTGTGAAAGTTTTATATATTATCGGAGGGACAACAGGCAGTTATAAACTGGGAAACTAGTGGGTAAATCAATTAAAATCATGATCTGCATTGTATGTAAGTTAAATTCATAAATATTTGCTATTGTCCAGGTTGCATTTTGAACTTACAACTTTTATGTTGCACTTGCGTAAATGTTTACAATAAATATTTTTTCAAAAGCACACCGAAAGTATGGCCTGAAGTAAACAAAAGATGGAAAGAAAACTTATAAATTCTGATCTAATGAGGATGGTAATTTAAATTGTTTATAATTCATTTAAGGTAAGGATCATTGTAAAGAAGGTTTAAAAATAAAATCCAGCCAAAAAAAAATAATTAGACTTTCCAAGAATGCAAGTTCGGTGGTGACTTCATTGGTTCGACACATTGACAGAAAATTCACAAGATTGAACTGCATTTCTCCACAATTTTCGAATGAAATACTTCCCTGGGATTTAATATACCATTGATGTTTACCAAAATATATGCACTATGAGAGATTATTATGAATATTACTTAGACTGTATATATTAAATACTGGATCTTCTAATGAACCTAGTGTTTCAAATTATAAATCAAAATGGACAATATGGTTATTGACGTGATTCACGTCAATTGATGTGCAAATGGCAATCTCTGTGATACACGTTAAATGGAGTTTGTGTCTCCACTGTATATGATCCCATGTCATATGGTATATCATGTATAATTTCACAGCATAGCTTATCACATTGCACTATATATCATATCATATCATATTTGTAATGTAACACATCATAATATCTGATCATTTATCTTATCACATGGGTAGGAGTTTCTAAGCATTTTGATTGGTCAATTGTGACAACGTATATTCCGTATCACACGACACATGACTAATTTTCATGTGATACAGAGGGCTGTATCACTACGGAGTCAATAGTAATGATATAACATCGATGGTTATATCACATCGTAGCTAAAGAAAACAGTATGACGTCATATTATTTCACTAAAAAGTATGAATACAACAGTATGACGTCATATCATTTCAAAGCGAAATTTCAAAACACTGAAATATTATAATAGTTACCAGAGGTACAAAGTACTGAACACAATCATAATTGACCAAATCCAAATTCCCCAAAATTCCTAGTCATGTGATAAAATCGTCATCACACGCTTCAGCTGTGATGTTCACTTGAGTCATGATACATTGTTACCCGAATGGAATATTTCCTGAAACGTGTGATAATATCATATCTATAAAAAACAACATTTTTTCTGCAATTTCTCACATCAAATGGCAGCCATCTTGTTTTTCCCCCTTCAAATTAAACTGGTGGAAAATTCTAAATTTTGAGAACATTTAAAACCCTAAATAGAATATGTTTCAAAAATATGATTTCTTTCTTCATGGCTTTAAATTATTTTTGCTTTGTACTTCATTCATGTTGCCATTGGTGTTTTTTCTGTGATAACAACTAAGGTATTTCACTGGTGATCCACTCAATTAGAAACAAAATGTCGGAACATCGAAGGTACGATTTTTCTTTTTTCCCTATTGCCCGGGTTGTAGGCAGAATCCCCACGATATTTTTTTTCACAAATGTATATCAATATCATATGTTTTAGAAAATATACATGTTTGCAAAAAATACCTCAGAAGACAACAGAATCGTCGATTTAATTCCTCACTTAAGTCACAGAAATGGTTTGGGTTAAAAGTGCAGATCTAAACTGTTTTTTCAAAATACTGCTTCTGTAACTTAAGTGAGGAATTAAATAGACGATTCTGTTGTCTTCTGAACTATTTGTTGACAAATGTGTACATTTTCTTAAACATATGATACTGATACACGTTTGTGTTAAAATTGCCATGAGAATTCTGACTACAAGGTTTGAAATAAGGAAAAAAGAAAAATCGTACCTTCAACGTTCCGACATTTTGTTACCGAAAAGAACCGTTTAGGTAACCAGCGTAATCGAGTGGATCACCAGTGTATTTGTTTTTTGTTAAGATACTTATGTTTACCCTAAGTACCCTTATGCATCAAAACTCGTGAAAAAGTAAATATACTTATCAAATATAACTAGGGCATTAACAAAAACCATATTTTACAAACATTTAAGTGAGGGATCAAAAGGGCATATATCCTGACTCATCCTTTCTGCGGATAAACAATTGTGACAACAAGTGCCTGCGATAAACTTAAGGACTGAAATTTTTTAAAGATGACAATGAAATATTAATTAAGGTGATAATTAGCTCAAATCATGTCACTTTTCGTAATTGTAATTATCTTTCAAAATTCATTCTCAGTTTTTGAAGACAGATGCTTAAAATCTAGTTTACAAAAATGTATAAATGAAAAACTCAGGCCTAAATATGTTACTTATACTGTGTGCAGGATACCAAAAAACTGAAAATTAGCAAATTACAATACCCACAAATTAGCTGAAAATTTAACATTTTTGAAGATGAAATGAGGCATTAATGAAGGTGACAATTACCTCAAAAATCAGATTTTCATAATTGTAATCATATTCAAAATTGAGTCTCATTTTTTCAAGACAGATGCTTAAAATCCAGTTTACCAAAATGTACAATTGAAAAACTCAGGCCTAATATATGTATACAAGGCTAGAAAAAGAGCAAAAGTACACACTTTCTTAACTTAATAAAATATACACAGTTCTTTGAATACTGCATTGGTTATGATACAAGGCATCTCTTTTTTTCCTTTTTTCGCTTTAGTGATTTTTTCTTCCCCGCATTGACAGAGTTAGAAGATGGTGGGAGACTCGTTGCATGGTGAACTGGACCAGAATCATCCGTAAATGTTATTCCAGAGGGTCTTTCATTTAGGGAGTGGACACCGTTTCCATCACTAGAGCTGCAGTGTTCTGATTGGAGCTCCCTGTTGTCATGGGCATAGCAGTCAATGTTGGGACGAGCACCAACATCAGATTGCGCTCCACCATGGTGTATTGCCTGACTTTGGGATTGGCGGTGACTTTTATATGGCTGTTGTAAGTTTAAATGTTCACTTCCGTTGCTACAGGCATAGTGGTCAATGTTGGGGCGAACGCCAACATCAGATTGCGCTCCACGATGGTGTATTGCCTGACTTTGGGATTGGCGGTGACTTTTATTTGATTGTTGTAAGTTAAAATGTTCACTTAAGTTGCTACAGGCATAGCGGTCAATGTTGGGATGAGCGCCAACATCAGACTTCGCTCCACCATGGTGTATTGCCTGACTTTGGGATTGTGGGTGACTTTTATATGGCTGTTGTAAGTTTAAATGTTCACTTCCGTTGCTACAGGCATTGTGGTCAATGTTGGGATGAGCGCCAACATCAGATTTCGCTCCACCATGGTGTATTGCCTGACTGTGGGATTGTGGGTGACTTTTATATGGAGATTGTAAGTTAAAATGTTCACTTCCGCTGCTACAGGCATAGCGGTCAATGTTGGGATGAGCGCCAACATCAGATTTCGCTCCACGATAGTGTATTGCCTGACTGTGGGATCGTGGGTGACTTTTATATGGAGATTGTAAGTTGAAATGTTCACTTCCATTGCTACAGGCATAGCGGTCAATGTTGTGATGATCGCCAACATCAGATTGCGCTCCACGATGGTGTATTGCCTGACTGTGGGATTGGCGGTGACTTTTATATGGTTGTTGTAAGTCAAAATGTTCACTTCCATTGCTACAGGCATAGCGGTCAATGTTGGGACGAGCGCCAACATCAGATTTCGCTCCACAATGATGTATTGCCTGACTGTGGGATTGGAGGTGACTTTTATAAGGTGATTGTAGGTAGTGACTCTTACCTCCTTTGGCTTTTGGTTCCTCTTGAGGGTGCGAAATTGGGTCCATAGCACTCTGTGCCTGATCACCCGAGTCCTGATTTAATATCCAACTGATTTGTCGATTGTCTTTAATTTGACTAAGATAGACAACACCATTGGGTGCACTGGTGTCAAACAGAGTGGAGAGTAGATCCTTTTTTTCTGAACTTTCTTTTAATTGGTTTTTACTTTGACATGTTCTGAGTACTCCCATTTGTGGTGTTTTTCGCATATTGAAAGGTAGGCCTGGCATAGAGCTACAAGAATACCGGCGCCCCCTGGGGTCATATTTTCGACTTTTTGCCCTTGTTATCGCCTCCTCAGGTGGGGGAGGGTGCTGGGGAGGGGGAGGGTTTGGTATAGTTGGGGGCCTATGCCGAGCGTTTTGAACCCTGCTTTTCTTATTTTTCACCTGGCAATCCTTGTTAATGTCCTCAATTCTAGGCAGAGGGGAAAACTGATTATTGTTCCCCATTGGGGCTCCATAGGCACTTGATTTATTTGAGCAACTCTCACTTGTGTTGTAACTCCCAACCTGAGTCGACTTTCGTGACTTCCTTTCAATTCTAGGCAGAGGGGGTAACTGATTATTGTGCCCCATTGGGGCTTCATCGGCACTTGTTTTATTTGAGCAACTCTCACTTGTGTTGTAACTCCCAACCTGAGTCGACTTTCGTGACTTCCTTTCAATTCTAGGCAGAGGGGGTAACTGATTATTGTGCCTCATTGGGGCTTCATCGGCACTTGTTTTATTTGAGCAACTCTCACTTGTGTTGTAACTCCCCACCTGAGTCAACTTTCGTGACTTCCTTTCAATTCTAGGCAGAGGGGGTAACTGATTATTGTGCCTCATTGGGGCTTCATCGGCACTTGTTTTATTTGAGCAACTCTCACTTGTGTTGTAACTCCCAACCTGAGTCGACTTTCTTGACTTCCTTTCAATTCTAGGCAGAGGGGGTAACTGATTATTGTGCCCCATTGGGGCTTCATCGGCACTTGTTTTATTTGAGCAACTCTCACTTGTGTTGTAACTCCCAACCTGAGTCGACTTTTGTGACTTCCTTTCAATTCTAGGCAGAGGGGGTAACTGATTATTGTGCCTCATTGGGGCTTCATCGGCACTTGTTTTATTTGAGCAACTCTCACTTGTGTTGTAACTCCCAACCTGAGTCGACTTTCTTGACTTCCTTTCAATTCTAGGCAGAGGGGGTAACTGATTATTGTGCCCCATTGGGGCTCCATCGGCACTTGATTTATTTGAGCAACTCTCACTCATGTTGTAACATCCAATCTTAGCCGACCTTTGTGAACTACTCTCAATTTGGTTAAAACTAGATTTATTTGATTTGGTTTCACTAAATGCAGTGTCATTGGCAATATTATTTGTCCTACAGGGGTCATTCAGTACGGCATCACCATATCCTCTGTATGGGATTCCTCTGTATGGAATTCCTCTGTATGGGATTGCGATTTCCTCATATATATGCTCGTGATTGTTTGAACCAGTGTTACTATTGTAACCCGCACTATTCACTGGGCTCCCACTGTTGTATCCATTCTTTGGATCCTGGCTATCAATCGTACGGGTGTCATAACCAGTGTTCAACAGAATTGTATGGGTATGATTGTTCCAGTTTATGTTGCTAAGGTGAGAAATATCCCTGATTAGGAAGTGAGAAGAGCTGGCAACATTCTGAATTGAGCAGCCATTTGCATTGCCATATAATGTTGCCTCATCTGAGATCTTTGGATCCTGGCTATCAATTGTATGGGTGTCATGACCAGTGTTTATAAGAGTTGCATAGATATGTTCGTTGCTGTCCTCTAATTTCGCCTCATCTCGGCAATATTCCATTTGTGCTGCAAATAGATAATACAATACCATAAGCACTGCATTTGCCACTAACCCATAAAAGGAATAATACAACTAGAAAATGACAATTCAACGGAGTAACAAATCCCAACAAACACTATATTCATGAATCTGTATGCCATAATATACCATTTACTCTACCCTTGATTGAATTGGCATATTAAAAGACATACATTAGAGATATATCAGAATTTCCACTGATTTAAGTATTTGGGTGGCCATTTGGGAGTTGCAAAGGCATAAATAGTAAAGACAATACAATATTTTGTATAATACTGCTCTTGGCAACCATTTTGAATTTTCTAAGGCAAGAATCAGTAAAAACAATACAATAATTGTGATCTTCTCTAAAATTCCTTCAATTTGAGTATAATATTAGCATACTTTGAACAGATCAGAAAATTAAATTGAAATCCCACATTAAGCAACATTTTGAATTTTACAAGGCAATACAAAATAAATAAAATAGTACCATGGGTACTGGGCTCATGTTGGTGTTGCTCAAAAGTGAGCGATGGCTAAAATGACAGAAAAAAATAGATATAATTTTTTGCCGATTTTTTGTAACAAAATTATTTCATACAACTACTCTTTACAGTGACATGTATTTTTACAATGCAGGACACCCAGAGCTGTCAAGTGTCCCGCGAATGGTGGGATTATCCCGCGAATTTGAAAATTAGGCTAATTCGCATGTCCCGCAATGTCCCGCGAAGTCCCGCAAATGTCGGCTTTGACCTCTGCGAATTTCCAAAATTGTTGCAATCCCCTATATTGTGATTATCTTATTGTATATAAGAAGTTAAATAAGAATTGTTGATTGGCCTTTTAACTACGAGTTTTGCGTGTGCCTTCATCTCAGAACTGAGCAAATGTTAGCAAACGCGAGTTACAATAAATGGACGCTGATATCTTGAAAAGTAATCTGACTCCCTATAACGTAATGTAGATTAATCCAACCCCTATATCATGGGCTTTCAATTGAAAGCCCATGCCTATATGAATAGGTACATTTCACTGGCAGATCTGGGGATGGCCTTGGGGCCCTGGCCCCCCACCTCCTTTGGGAGGGCCCAGAAAACGATTTTAGGCAAAAAAGGCCTCACGGCCCCAAAAAGTGGGTCATTTTGGTCATTACTGGGCCTCAAAATTTTTTTTCTTTGACCTGAAATTTGGACCCCCCTTATTGGTTCCCAGATCCGCCACGGATCGTTTGTCACGATCGCCATAAGTGCAAAGTATTGTTCAGAATTTTTGGAATTTCATGTTAGATTACGGTACTCACACCTAAAGCGGGTGTCGACTTTTGGTTTGCAACCGAAGATACCCCAAGAAAAGCTGGAGATTGCCGAAGATTATCTTTGCAAACGAAGTTGGCCGAGGGTACCACGAATGTGAAGAGGATGTCTCTAATTGGTCAAAAAGAGGGGCTTGGCATTCTCTGTCAGATTGAATCGGCAAAATTTGGTTGTATGGCTTATCTTCAGTTGTGTGGCTTACATTGGTTGCATGGCCCAACCTCGATTGAATGGAAAAGATGCTGTCCCCACCTGAAGCATGGTTTTTGTTTTTGATATATTACAATAAAGTTTAATAATATTCCTATGCGTATTGTGTGAAATTGTGTTGACGTTCACTTAAATTACAATGTAAGTGCATTATATTTAATTAATCAGTATCTGAAAGTTTGATTTGAGTACTTTTACATTAAGTCCCAATCACGCAAATCCCTTGAATGTCCCGGGACATCCCGCAAATCTAGGTGGATGTCCCGCGAAATCCCGCAAATATAGGGCACTTTGTCCCTCTATGAAGTCTTTGGTGGTTACCTTGTTAACTGTCCGCAATTAGGGTGTTCATCCCTCGAATGGTCCCGCGAATTTGATAATAAAATTAGCCACGCGGTACCAACTCACCGGGGCGTAATGAAACCAAAACGCCCCGCAAAACCGTTAATTTGAATTTCAAATCTACCCTGTCTTTGGAAAATCAATGATTGTGAGTCTCACACTACACCATTTTTTCTTCAAACTTGTTCCATTAAAACCTTCACAGAAATACATTTCAGTCGGGACATTGCTTTTGTTTACAAAGTCCCTCGTTTTAGCGGCGTTTTGGTCCCCAGATATGAGAAGTTGCAAATCCTCAAAGATTTCAACCACAATCCTTGATATCTCGCCAGTTCTTCTATCACTCTCCCCCATATTCTGCGCAAGGACTCCCATTACAACCCTCCATCGCTGCATCAACATGTTTATTACATGGAACGCAGCAATTCTGAAAAGTCCTACGCAACTGTTCGAAATTGACCAAAAACGCCCCGTTGTCTTCCAAAACGCCCCGCAGAGTCTATGACTACAAACGTGTAGTTTCAAGGTGTATAGATCCAACAGGGCGTTTTGGAAGAGAACGGGGCGTTTTGATCAATTTCGAACAGATGCTTAGGACTTTTGGAAATTGCTGTGGTTAATGTAATAAATATGTTGATGCAGTGATGGAGGGTTGTAATGGGAGTCCTTGTGCAAAATATAGGGGATAATAATAAAAGAACTGGCGATATATCGAGGCTTTTGGTTGAAATATCTGAAGATTTGCATCTTCTCACATCTGGGGACCAAAAAGCCGCTAAAACGAGTGACTCTGTACACAAAAGCAATGTCCCGAGTGAAAGGTATTTCTGTGAAGGTTTTAATGGAACAAGTTTGAAGAAAAACGGTGTACTGTGAAAATCACAATCATTGATTTTCCAAAGAAGGGGTAGGTTTAAAATTCAAATTAACGGTTTTGCGGGGCGTTTTGGTTTCGATACGCCCCGGTGAGTTAGTACCGCATGTTAGCGCAATCACGCAAATCCCTCAAATGTCCCGCGAAATCCCGCGAATTTAGTGGATATCCAGCAAAATCCCGCGAATTTTGGGCACAAGGTCTAAAAAATCTGTCCCGCGAGAAAATCTTTGGGAGTTGACAGTACTGGACACCTGAAATTATTAGGAGAATTTATTTTGAAAGCTAGGAAATGGTCCAAAAGTGAATTTCGCGAGACTAAAATGGCGGCCATTTTGAAAATAGGCGAGCTTTTGAACCAGGAGTCATAGTTTTTTTTCTATATTGATAGAAAAATAACAAAAATAACTTAAAACGAGAATCCCATCGACAGAGGATTGACAGAGGATTTAAAAAGAGCCAATATTGTTGACAGACGGACAGACAGACAAGTGAGTGATTGCAATAGCTCACCATGAACACCTGGCTTATCCGAACACACAGAATTTGAACAGTGAACAGTCATATATCAGCTTTCATCTTTAGATTTCTTCTTTAGCAGATCTCCTATGTCCCAATGCATCAGCATATAGAATTTAATCCAAATCCGTCAACTGGTATTTGATTTATCTAGGATTACATGTTTAATGAAAAATGGCGGAGATTTCAATAAATAGCAGCCACTAGGGGTCACACGGTTAACTGTGGCTTGCGGTTACCACAGTTCATACCTCCACGACGGTTAGCTCGCACACAATCTTGAAAACCGCGGTTCTTGAAGAACCGTGACATTTTCAGTTTCACTTCAGAAAAATAAAATGTAAACTCGGAATTAAACTCCATTTCAAGCTTTCGTGTAATACCAATTAACTAAACATCGTCTGGAATCGTTAATCATCATGCAATAATGCGAACCATACCTGATATTTACGACGATCTTCTGATATAGACGGCAGATAACAAAAACAAAAGGAAAATGTTGATAAATTTCACAGGCATATTGACCCGGAAGTGACCTACGCTAAACATTTCGCGCAATCCTATTGGTTGATAGAACAGTATACTGTAAAAAGCCGAACGCCGAATGCATTGAATTTGCGAACGAGTCACGTTCTGTGTATTACGTTCGCCTTTTGTCCATGTTGAGTCCTGACAAAGTGTTGAACTTAAGTTATATTTCTAAAGAAAACATTTATTCAGTTTAGTGAAGTACTGTGCTAATTTTGCCAACAGTTGACAAGTTATTTTATGTGTTGAAAAAACTTGAACATCAAACAAGAAGATCAACACAGTGAACACACAGATATTTTGGGAGGGAGGGAGGGAAAAAAGACTGAACAAACAAACAAACATTGTGTGAAACTGGATACTTACAATACTGAATACAATAAAACACTGTGACACACTTAGTATGTTTTCTGATTTTCGGATCAATTTCATATATTTTTGCTCATTTCGCAAGGCCCGTGAGAACCGCAATCAGAACCGAACCGAAATGTGAAATACAATCACCGAACCGAACCGTGAAATCTCAAACCGTGTGACCCCTAGCAGCCACCTTGAAAATTTCTTCTCAAGCAGAGCTCCTTTATCTCTAGGCATCAGTATATAAAATTTGAAGTAAATCCATCCAATGGTATTTGACTTATCAAAGATTACCTTTTTTATGAAAAATGGCAGCCATTTTGAAATTCAGCTGATGCCTTTGAAATTTCTTCTGAAGCAGATCTCCTCTTTCCCCAAACATCAGCATATAAA